TCTTCTCTACCTTCTTTCTCCCTTCCTTCTCTTTCTTCCCTACTTCCCTCTTCTTCCTCTCCTCTCCTCTTCTCTTTCACCACTCTCTCCTCCAACCTTCCTACTTCCTTCTCCCCTCCTTTACTCTTTTCTCTCTCCTCTCCTTTCTTCCCTCTCATCCCTCTTCAGATACAATTCAGGGGTAATGTCCGAGCAACTCTCAAAGGCAGATTTTTGAAGACACTTGGCGACTTCTCCTCGAGTTATGGACATTTTTCACCCTTGTGACCATTGCAGCCGTCCCCACGGTCGTGGGATTTATATTCGGATGCTGGACCACCGACTCACGTTTACGACGGCTGCAGTGTCGTGGGATTCACCTGGTGCTGGAGACCCAACCGTTCCTTTCACAAAAGGGAAGCAAGTGGATTTTTTTTTGCCGTTGTGAACGCGTACACAACTATCGTTTCTCAATCTCAGCAACTTGTAAGAGGGGTGGACTTCAACATCCAGAGTTCCCTGGCCAGCTTGAAATAAATTCCATAATCTTGCAGGCGGTTCTCGACTTAACAACCGCAATGCAGCCCCAGATTTCCGTCGCTAAGCAAGACAGTTCTCAAGTGAGATTTGCCCCATTTTACGACCTCTCTTTGCCACAGTTGCGCATCGAAGAGGAGGGGGTGGGCTGGCCTGCTGTGGTCCATGGGGTCACGAAGAGTCAGAGACGACTTAGCGACCGAACAACAGCAACCCAAATGATATACTGGAAGCTTCTTTTCTGTTTGATGTTGCCCTTAATTTTATTTTTAACGGGAAGCAGGTTGATCTTTCCCGATCCGTTGAAGCGAAAGCCCCTGATAGACCATAACACCAAAGAAAAGTTATTTTTCAAACTGCCTTTCAGATTCAATCTTCATTAAAGCGCCAGCTTCTATGTGATGGCCGAGCAGATATTTACTGTAGGATATTTGCTTGGTGGATAAACAGCATTTACGTACTGTTATGTTATGCTTCCATTACTGAAAGCAAAAATGGCAAAGGATTTTTTTTTTAAATGTAATTGAAGGAGTGCTTTACGGTAGACCTGTGGTGGCTTTGTGAAATATACTGTGTATTGATTGTTGTATTATGTCTTGATTTATTTAAGGCCAAATTATTAGTGATAATGCAGCAAAGCCACCGAGAGCTTCCGTTGTTTTAACTTGCTGACTGCATTTCCAAATAATTTTTTTTTGCTTCACCTAAGGATCGTTTTGCATAGCTTGCACGGTTATTTAATGCACTTTAATCAATCAATCAGAATAGAGCTGGGAGGTACCTCGGAGGTCTTCTAGTCCAGCCCCCTGCTCAAGCAGGAGAACCTATATCATTTCAGACAAGTGGCTGTCCAGCTTTTTCTTAAAAACCTCCAGTGATGGAGCAACCACAATTTCTGGTGGCAAGCTGTTCCACTGGTTAATTGTCCTTACTGTTAGGAAATTTCTCCTTAATTCCAGGTTGCTTCTCTCTTTGGTCAGTTTCCAACCGTTGTTTCTCGTCTTGCTTTTTGGTGCTTTGGGAAATAAATTGACCCCTTCCTCTTTGTGGCATGTCTCTCTTCTTTGGCCAATAAATGGACCAGGTTGGTGTTTCCCTTTTGGTTTTTGGTTTTTTTTCCTAAGATGGGAGGCCTATAGCTTCCGTCACCTCCTAGCCCAGTGATGGCGAACCTTTGAGACCGA